TAGTATGTTTGGGATGACTTTTTGACTTTTTACGAAAATATATGCAAAAAGTAGAGAGAAAAGAGAATCTTTGACTTTTTTGTATGGGTTGTTGGCTTTTTGGCTAATTTAGGGGACTTACCTTTTTAGCCAAAAAGTCAAAAAGTTACCCTTTTAGCCAAAAAGCTAACAACTCATACCAAAAAGTTAAAGATTCTCTTTTCTCTCTACTTTTTGCACATCTTTTCGTAATTAACCAAAAAGTCATCCCAAACATATAAGTTTTTTTTACCTACTTTTTTAACCAAATAGTCAAAAAGTTACTAAATTAGTCTGTTCCCAAACGAGGCCTAAGTAACTTTTTGACTTTTTGGCTAAATGGGAGGGTTCCCAAACGAGGCCTTAATGGTATTTTTCGTTAAACACTATTAAAAAACGTCATTAATTGTTAATTTTCAGCGACAATTGAAAAATCTTGCCACAAAAAATGTTACTACTTATAAGTTTTATCAACAGTTTACAAAAATCATCACAAAAAAAGTCACTAATTTAAAACTTCCAGCGACAGTTTGAAAAATTTATCACAGAAAAAGTTACTAATTGTAAGTTTTAGTGACAATTTATAAAAATCATGACAAAAAATTCATTAACTGTTAATTTTTAATAACATGTGTAAAAAATCGTTACAAAAAAATATTTTTAATTTATTTTCAATAGAACTTGATGAGGATTAAGTCCAACTATTATGACATATTGATAATTTACCTTTAATACTATGTGTTAAACCAAATTCTTTGTTCATACTCCGCCATAAGGTCCCGTTTGTTTTCAAAGGTAAAATGAAGGACATTCATTGTGAGGTGATTAATAATGAGGAGATTGTTAGTGAGGTGATGAAGTAAAATTGTGTTTGTTTTGATGATAGTTGTTGGTGTAGAGATTGTTAAATTATTTTTATATAAAATAAATACAAAATAATAAAACAAATAAAAAAATACGAAAACATTAAAAATTGATGTTCAAAAAAAAAAAAAAAGCCCAACATGTAAAAAATAAAAATAAATAAAAAATTTCCAAAAAAAATAAAACAAATAAAATAATGATTTTTACTTAGCAAAAAATACAAAAAATTAAATATTAATGTTCAAAAAATAATTCCCAACATATAAAAATAATAATAAAAAAAAATAGTCCGACAGACTAAAATTCTAATACCACCTCCACCTCCACCTCCACCTCTTTCATCCCAATCCCCCTTCCAAGGCCTATCCTGATACCAAGGGATTAAGAGTCTCCTCCTCATCTTTCAAAACAAATATGACATGTGTGTTTGATTAGATGGACTGGATAAGGGGAGACTAGAATCCATCGAACTTGAATCCTAGGATTGTGAATCTCTCGGACTATTTAGCCTCCGTTTGGGAAGTAGGTTGACTTTTTGGCTTTTTTGGCTATTTTAGCCTAGGCTAAAAAGTTTGGTTTGGGAAGAGCTTTTTAGTTTTTTGGCTTTTTAGACTTTTTTTGTGAGAGGATAGTGTAATGATTATGGGTTGGATGTGATGTTTTATTTTTTGTGGCTAAAATAGCCTATTTTGTTTTTTTGTGGCTAAAATAGCTAAAAAAAAGCCTGGATTAGCTCTTCCCAAACGGACCCTTAGTTAGATTGGATGTATATCCCGTGTTTGTTTTCTCATGGGATTAGATGTCTGGAAAGGATTATTTTTAGTGAATTCCTTGTTTGGTTGGACGAACTGAAAGCCTGTTTGGGAAGGAAGTTACGGGCTAAATTAGCCACTACAGGACGAAATTGGCTAAATTAGCCACTACAGGACAAAAAGGCTTCAGGATTGCATCTTACATACAGTGTAATGATTATGGGTTGGATGTGATGTTTTATTTTTTGTGGCTAAAATAGCCTATTTTGTTTTTTGTGGCTAAAATAGCTAAAAAAAGCCTGGAATAGCTCTTCCCAAACGGACCCTTAGTTGGATTGGATGTATATCCCGTGTTTGTTTTCTCATGGGATTAGATGTCTGGAAAGGATTATTTTTAGTGAATTCCTTGTTTGGTTGGACGAACTGAAAGCCTGTTTGGGAAGGAAGTTACAGGCTAAATTAGCCACTACAGGACGAAATTGACTAAATTAGCCACTACAGGACAAAAAGGCTTCAGGATTGCATCTTACATACAAGGAGGCATGAAATTACCAAATTACCCCTGGGTCTTTGTTCACACTATCCCGTTCTCGTAAATTAAAAAAAAAAAAAAGAACATTTGCCACGTCATGTGTACAAAATCGTGAACTGAGCCATGTAAAAAAATAAAGTTAACAATTAATGTATACAAAAAAAAAATTTACCAAATTAATGTACCAAAAAAAATTTACGCGACAAATTAATATACCAAAAAAATTAATTTAACAAAAAAAATTTACCAAAAATCTTTTTTTACATTTGCCACGTAAAAAAAAAAGAACATTTACCAAATTAATATATACAATTTTTTTTTGACAAAACCGTAAATTAAAAAAAAAGAACGACAAAAATACGGCTCATCCAAAAAATAAAAAATAAATTTTAAAAACCAAAAATGAGCATTTGCCACGTAATTTATAAATACATAAAACACATGAAACCCCATTTTTGAAATATAAACACAAATTAATGTATACAAAAAAATAAAATGACAAAAACGTAAATTAAAAAAAAAGAACGACCAAAATACGGCTCATCCAAACAAAAACAAAAATAAAAAACATAACAACAGAAATTAGCATTTACCACGTAATTTATAAAAAAATAAAACACACGAAAACCCATTTGTCAAATATAAAACCAAATTAATGTATACAAAAAAAAAAAATTACAAAAACGTAAATTAAAAAAAAACGACAAAAATGCGCCTCATTCAAAAAAAAAAGAAAAAAAAAACTAAGACATAGTTAAAAATAAAAATCCAAGACAAAAAAAAAACATAGTTCAAAAAAAACATAGGTATAGTAAAAAAAAAAAATTAAAAAGACAAAAACATAAATTCCCAAATAAAAATCGAAAAATTTAAGCACAATACCCCAAATCCAAACCCAAAATGAAAAAAAGTAACAGGGAAAAAAATTAAGCAAAATATGAAAAATCCAAGCGCAAAATAAAAAAATTTCAAATAAAAAAAAATGCAAAATCCGTCAAACTCAAAAAAAAAAAAAACAAATAAAAAACTAAAAAATTTGGATTTGCAAAATTCGGGAGATCGAAACACAACATAAAAAAATTGTCAACGAAAAAACATAAAGCAAAAAATGCCAAAGTGAAACCCCCCCCAAAAAAAAACAAAAAAAGGCAAAATCGAAACCCCAACATAAACAAATTAAAATAAAAAAGAAGAACCAAAATATGGCAAATTCAAACCCAAAATTAAAAAAAAGAAAATAAACAAATTAAGCAAAAGTCGGCAGATCGACACCCAATATAAAAAAAAGAAAAAAAAAAAAACACAAAAAAAAAAGCCAATCCAAACCCCCCAAAAAAAAATATAAATAGCAAAATACGCGAAATCGAAAGATAACATAAAAAAATTAAAATAAAAAAATAACCAAAATATGCCAAATCCAAAAAAATAAAAAATAAATAAATTTAAACAAAAATCCAAAATTGAAAAAAAAAATACCAAAAAAAAAACAAAATTTTTTTTTTCCCAACAAAAAGCCAAAATTGTAATCAAGCAGATTCAAACAAACACGATTACAGTATGTATGTACATATGACTGAATCCACAAAACAATGCGTTAATAGGAAATACTACCCAGAAAATTAAACTTTTCGTCATTTAACAAGATGACACCTCACCAAAAAGCTAAAAAGCCAAAAAAGCCAAAAAGCCTTTCCCAAACCAGGCTTTTTAGCCCCAGCCAAAAAAGTCAAAAAGCCAAAAAGCCAACCCACTTCCCAAACGGAGGCTGAATAAGAATAAATGAGCAAAAGACTATTTTATCATTTTTCAATTGTTTACTAAGTAAATCAATATTAAACATATCTTTAATATTTCAATTATTTTTAGCTAGATTAAATAAAAATTTATTTTATTTTATTTTTTTACGCAATTAAATAAATTTATTTTTTAAAAATTAAATAAATAAAATATCAATAAAAATATATGTTATTTTTTAAATTAAATTAAATAAAATTATTTTATTTTTAAATTGAGACATTTAATTTTATTGAATTTTACTAAATATAATACATAATTAAATAGTAGAGGGTCAAAATGATCATTTTACCACCTAATCTCAACAGTAAATAATCTCATAAAAATTGTCCTACACCCCCCTCGGACAGTATAATTCCACATATTGGAGATAAAGAGTCCGACCAGATTTCATGTCTGGCGAATTTAAAAAAAAAAAAACAAATGCCAGACTATCTGGTTCCATTGAATTACAATTCGAACAGTAAATAATCTCTCCCCTAATTCCCCCAATCAAGCGCACCCACCTTACTATCAATCATAAATCCCTCTCTATAACTCCAAACAAACAGGGCCTCAGTTTGATCTTAAGCAATCTTGGCAAATTGATATCATAAGCTATTGCAATAACTTAGCAATTAAGTTTGGTAACTTAACGACAATATTTAAAAGCTTGCAAAAATCAAGCAAATTGAATGTCCTATTTACTGGAGGTTAGTAACTTTTGATTAAGGTCAACCTTCAGTGTGTCCCTATTTGTGATAAAGGCTCAATAACAAAGGTGATCTATATACATATATGCCTCGTTTGTTTCACTGAATATAAAATAAAAGATATAATATGGTATGAGATTTAATTAAGATATATAATGAATAAAATATATGTATTGAATAGTATATCCTCTGAGTCATGTTTGTTGACTTGATATATAAGATTGGATATATGTTATGCATATTTGTTTTACAAAATATATTGTGGGATGTAACAAGTAATTTTCAAGATTGCCCTCATAATATTATATTATATTAAATTAAATTAAATAATATTATATTATATTAAATTCAAAATTTATGGCAGTGCGAATCAGTGTTAAGATGCCTCTGCATGATCCTAATGGTGGGCATAGCCTCAATTGATGAATGAGGTGCTGGAGGTGGACCCTGCCTATCATTCATAGTAAGCTGTTCAATCAATTCTTCCAATTCTTGTCCTGTGAAAAGATCACCAAAACCAGCTCGCCTCCGCCCAGTTCTTGGACCACCATTAAAAAAGAAATCAAACCCATTATCAGTCACCCTGACAGGGACTTGTCCATGAAATACCAACCACGGGCTGGAACCAAAAGGTGTGCTGTTTTCAGGAACTACACCGGATCTTGCTCTAACGTCGAAGTTTGGGTTTCTTCCTGCCATTCTCTGCCTCATAACAGCTGCAAAAGCATCCATAATTCCAAATCTTGGGTCAACGAATGGCTCCATATATCCAAAGTCAGAATCATCTTCTGAATGCAATCCAAAGAAATCATGTTGTCCTGTGTCCACCACCTCATTCAGTTCCTGCACAAAGCCCCCATTGCAATATGGGCAAACCAAGTTATGACCTCGAAGCCGAACTGGATGCCTGCATTGATGACACCAATGTGTGTTTCCACCATTTGACATTTTGTATCTACCAGGTCTCTCAATACAAACCTTAAATATCAAGACCAAAGAACTGATTCATTCTGCATCCAACGGCTCAGAGTTCAAAGACCACAATTTACAAACATTATACCTTAAAAAAACTTCAGAAGGATTAGAATGGCCCAATATAAACCTAAGCTAATGCTACTCATCAAGATAATAGCTCATGTTTAAGTCATCAAAGATTTCTGCAACAACAAATTATCACTAAAAAACAGAACATGGAAGCCCATTCCCAAACATGTTTTGGCCTCCATGCTGCTAAAAACTCAAAGGCACATCAACCGCCTATTGAAGATAATTAAGACATTGATGCTTAACTATCAAAAGATTAAATACCCAACAGAAGAAAGCTTGGCACAAACACCCTTTCAGAAATGAAGCTTAAATGTCAAAAACAATTATTCGCAATACAATACTTCAATTCAATAATGTTATCAGACATAGGCGCTGTTTGGGAAGCTGCCAACGAGACTATTATAATCTCATTTGAGAAATAAGCCAAAAAGTGACACTGTTCATAGTTTTTTTTTTTTTTTTTAAAAAAAAAAAGGCACTGCACAGCCGGAAATTGATACATCAATGGGAAAATTATCATTTTGCCCCTTTAAATCAATTTAAAAAATAAAAATTTAGGGACAAATTTGTCATTTTAAATTTAAACATCATTTCAACATACTTTCCAATACAAGAACCCAACTAAAAATTCAACTCATCTTTCCAAACACAAAACTAAAATAGCCTATTAAAATAACCAAATAGCCTACTAAAATAATCACTTCCCAAACGAGGCCATAAATTATTAAATTTTTTATTAAACTTCTCAGATAAGTGTGAAACTTATATATATATAATTTGTGTGAATTTCATACCTATATACGAAATTTGTGTAAAGTCACACTTATATGAGAGATTTAATAATTTATTTTTTTTTTTTTTTTTTTTTTTTTTTTTTTTTTTTTTTTTTTTATATTTCTAAATTTGTGTAAAGTCACACTTATATGAGAGATTTAATAATAATTTATTTATTTATTTTTTTTTTTTTTTTTTTTTTTTTGAGATTCATGACATTCCCCTTTCTAAAATCTACAAGTGAGCAAAATTGAGTCTCAAAAGTCACATCACCAAGTAACTAGTATAAAGTCAATTGGGGATATGCGAGTCTGGGATATGGATTGATATTTTAATATTTTTTGTTATTTTAGTTTAGAGGTTAAAAAAATTTGTTAGGGATGAGTTTTTTGATTTTGTTTTTAACTTTTGTGAAAAAAATAATAATTATGATTTGAATATGATATTTTATTTTATTAATTTTTTAACTTATTTAATTTTTTGTGATTATTTTAGCCTCGCAATTTCTTTTCAAACGAGTGCTCATACATAGGCTTTGGCAAAAGAAGTTGGGACTAAAAAAATATAAAAGATAAAGGTTTCATTTGGCAAAAAAAATTTAAGACTAAAAAAGTACAAAAAAAAATAAAATAGGCTAAATAAATTAATATGATAAAATGTCACATCTAAATTATAATCATTTTATTTTTTTTTCCTCATAAAAATAAAAAAAAAGTAATCTAAGTAAACTTTTTAGTCCTAAGTTAAAAGAGTCCAAACTTAAAAAAGCTAACTAAAAAAGTCATAGCAAAACGACAATAAAATAAGTTAAATAAATTAATAAGATAAAATGTCATATTTAAACCATAATCATTTCATTTTTTTCTCTTATAAAAGTTAAAAAATCAATCTAAATGAACTTTTTAATTTCAAATTATAAACCTTTCAACTCAAAAAAAACTAAATAAAAAAATCCTAACTAAGGATTGATTTGAGATGTTCTAAATAAATATACTTTTTGACTTTTTATAAAAAAATGTGTAAAAAAATAAAGAAAAAATATTGATTGATATGACTCAAAAAAATATGCTTATACAAAAGCCCACTTATATAATTTAACTCAAACAAAACTTAGGGCTAGTTTGGCATGTACTAAATAAGCCAAAAAGTCAAAAAGTCACTATCTTATTTAGCCTCCGTTTGGGAAGTGGGTTGGCTTTTTGGCTTTTTGACTTTTTTGGCTATTTTAGCCTGGGCTAAAAAGCTTGGTTTGGAACCTTTCAACTCAAAAAAAACTAAATAAAAAAATCCTAACTAAGGATTGATTTGAGATGTTCTAAATAAATATACTTTTTGACTTTTTATAAAAAAATGTGTAAAAAAATAAAGAAAAAATATTGATTGATATGACTCAAAAAAATATGCTTATACAAAAGCCCACTTATATAATTTAACTCAAACAAAACTTAAAGGAGAACATAGTTGCCCACATTTCAATTCCAATCGTTTTGCATTTACATATTTGGAAGATCAAACATATGATTTCAAAATTTGGAAAAGTGGACCACACCACAAAAAAAGAAAGAATGTTATATATATTGGCATATTTTAAAAAGTAGATTAAAAGTTAATTTTTTATTTTTTTTTAAAATGAAAAAAAAATAAAGAAATAATGTGATTCAAAAAGTCAAAAAAACTTACTTTTAACCTAATTGCTAAAATAAAAATAAAAGATTTACTATAATAGGAAAATTCTAATATATATATGAGTTCTCAAGTTGTAAGTATCAAATACATATAACAAAATATACACTGAGATATTGGCCTATTTTGAAAAATGGGTTAAAAGTCAATTTCTAACTTTTAATCTACTTTTTTTTCTAAAAAAACAAATTAAAAAAAGTCAAAAAAATAATATTAAACCATCTTCTCAAAACATCTTATATAAAATATTAGCCTTTTAAGATCTCAAAACATCTTATATAAAAAGTCAAAAAAGTTTTACTTCACTATTTTTTTTTACATATTTTTTAAAAATAAAAGTCAAAAAGATAAAAAAATTACCTTTTAAAAAACAACCTCTCGTATAGAGTGCCTCCTGTGCTTTGTACACATCAAGTCTAGTTATAATTTCTAGGGGGTTCATTTCAAAATTTATTAAGATAATCTATATTGTTCATCATATAAGATTTGTAAAAAATATGTATATATAAAATTAATTAAATTAGTTACACAAATTTAAAAATAATTAGTTATGCAAATTCAAAAAATTATTTTAAAATTATATGTATCAATTAATTTAATTTTTTAAATAAATAATCGAATTCAATATATGTCCAAAAACCCCAATCAAAAGCACAAAATTATTTCTCTTCTTCAACCCAACAACCACCACCTACTGCTAGGCATTACCAAGAGGAAAAGACCGTAGTCAAGAGTTCACTCTGAAAAGCCTAATCAAAATTGACAAATCCACCACCTGTCACTTTAATTCATCTCAGCCGTCCATCCCCGGATGCACTAACATCCATCCCCTCACGCATACGCGTTCGTTCGTGCGGGCGAATTCGCAATAAACTTCACCACAACACGCCACGTGTACTCTCAAAACATCCTCCGTCTAACCCCAGTTACGTTAGCAAACCCTAACCCTAACTCCACTCGTTGCTATATATATATCTCCCTCTCTCTCATCCATTTCTGTGTGTAGATTGTATGTGTGTATATTTATTCTGTATCTCTCTCTCCCTCTGTCTCTTCGAGTTTCGATTCTATCGAAGTGAAAAAGTAGAAGAAAAGGGATAAAGCAGAGCAAGCCCTAATTCTCTGAATTTTGAGATTAGGGTTTCGAAATTGAATATATATATATATATATTTTTTTTTTTGAGTTTTGTTGAGGTTTTGAAGGAGATAGATCAATGGCGGAACCAATGAGGAGATTCGGAGTCGGTTACGCCTTGGCGATGAAGAAGCAAGAGAGTTTCATTCAGGCTTCGTTGGTGAATCTGGCGAGTGAGAGAGGTATTGATCTCATTCGGATCGATACGGAGAAGCCTTTGTTGGATCAAGGACCGTTCGATTGCGTGCTTCACAAGATGTCCGGTGAGGATTGGAAGAAGCAGTTGGAGGAGTACTCGGTGAAGAACCCTAATGTGTTGATAATCGACTCTCCTGATGCGATTGAGAGGCTTCACAATCGGATTTCGATGCTTGAGGTGGTGACCGAGTTGGATATCCAGACTCAGACTGAGACCGAGTCTTTTGGGATTCCGAAGCAGATTGTGATTTACGACTCGGTCACTCTCCTCGATCTTAACGCATGGGGTGGTGAGGGTTTGAAGTTTCCGGTAATCGCGAAGCCTTTGGTTGCCGATGGTAGTGCCAAGTCTCACAAGATGTCTTTGGTTTTCAATCAGGACGGTTTGAACAAGCTCAAGCCACCGATTGTGTTGCAGGAATTCGTGAATCATGGTGGTGTGATCTTCAAAGTGTATGTGGTTGGGGACTACGTGAAATGCGTGAAGAGAAAGTCCTTACCTGACGTTTCTGAGGAGAAATTGCTTACTTTGGAGGGTTCTTTATCGTTTTCGCAGGTTTCGAATCTAACTACTCGTGAAAGAAACGACGATAAGTATTACAAGACGCTGAATTTGGAAGATACAGAGATGCCCCCACAGAGTTTTATCGCCGATATTGCTCGTTCGTTGCGGCGAGCAACAAAATTGCATCTTTTTAACTTTGATGTCATTAGGGACACTAGAATTTGGAATAGGTACCTTATAATTGACATAAATTACTTCCCTGGGTATGCGAAAATGCCATCATATGAGACTGTTTTGACGGACTTTTTCTGGGATGTATTGAACAAAAAAGAAACAGGTCTTGATAATGTGCAGGTAATTAGTTGTGAGAAAGAAGCAAGGAAATTAGTTGGCAATAATGGATGTGAGGTGAATGATCCGGTTTTGCCTCTTAGCAGGGAAGAAACGGAGAATCCAATTCAAGTCTGATGCGTACAAAATGCGCATCTGAATTGGGAACCATTGTGTAGCTTGTTGCCGAAAGATTGGATCAGCAAAAAGCTGCTCAAAGTGCAAAGAACCTTCACTTTGTTTGTAGGTCTACGCAAGCTATGCACATTTCATTTAGATAGAAAGTTAGTGCAGTGGTGAATAAGTAGGTTCTTTGCTTCTGTTACCGCCTTCAAAAGACATTACATGCTGTTTCTTGTTGATCATGTACATTCCATCGTTGCTTTGGGGGATAGGTACTTCTCAAATACAAGTTTTTAGGAATGTTGAAGTTGTGAGGCATATGTAATTCCTGGCTTAAAAACTGTTCTAATGTCTGCCTTTGGCAACTTTATTCAATCAATTTTGCCTTTTTATCAATGATAGTTACATTTTGTTTCCTTTGCATTTCAATGTTGCTAAACTTAAGTTCATTTTTGCTATAGAGCTGAGCCGTGGTCATTTTTCCTGGCACCATAAAGGCCAGGGCCATTACCTGCTTATAGTCTCATGTGCTGCTCAATTTACGTAGTTGATTACTGGGAAGTGTTTGGCCATGAAGTACTCCTTATTACCTGGTCCTGTCTTGTGGAAGTTAAAATGTAAAATTTTGCTGTTGAAGTGTTTCCATTTCTGCATTGTCCCCTTTCTGGACCAGAAGGTCGGAATTGGAAAGAATTTACTGATTCTAGTTTATTTTGGTGGGTTTTCGGTGACATGGTGTGCTTTGTCTTGTTTTGTTAATCTAGTTTGCAGTTAGTTTACTAATCCTGAATGGAGTTCTGGTTTGTCGATGACTGGTTTTGAAGCATGTTGCCATTTTATTTTAATGATGATTGTATCTTCACTTGTTTAACTTGAGCACTTGAAATGGGCTTATTCCTGGCTGCATGGTTTAATGCATATTTTGTTAGATGTTACGTCACCCACAAACAATTGGAAGTTGTTTCGTTTTCTTGTTAGTTTGCTCATCAAAACTTTAATCTTTAGTGGTTGATGTAATTTTTTTGGGGGACTTTTTTGTTGGAGAATATACGGAAATTATGTAGTGTGTTTTTATCTTTGCATGGATATATCGCGATTACTATTAGGAAACGAAATGCAAATCAGAAAGGAGGAATCTTTGACCAGCTTATACCAAAATCAGAAAGCTTTCATTATACCAAAATCAGTGATTGCTCATACTTCCTTTGATATTCTTGTACTTTATGTATGGAACTGAAGTCTGGCAGCTGATTTTGCCTTGGACAGCCTTGCGATAGGCCTTAGTTTAGGAGGCTTGCAAATCAGCCACGTGTTAAGTTTGTTTTTCTAGTGGTTTACTTACGCTATGTAATGTATACCTTGCATGTTTTGTACTCTGTTGCACGTTACAAACCTTGCATCTTTTGTACCCTTTTGCATGATACAATGTATGGATATATATATCTTTCCTTGCATCTTTTGTACTCTGTTGCATGTCACAATTTATGGATAAGTATCTAGGTGAGGACAGTGTCGACAGCAAAGAAAAAGTGAGAAAGACATTGTTTTCTTAGGATTTGTTTCCTTTCATCTTTTGTACCCTGTTGCATGTCACAATTTATGGATACATATCTCAGTGTGTGGACAATGCTGATAGTGAAGACAAAGTGAGAAAGATGCGTTTTTTTTTGTCTTAGGGTTTCTCTATGTAGAAATGTTTGAACCTTTCTGTCTTGTGTCCTTAAATTTGTCTAGTTATTGTCAAATTGGAGACAAATGTATTTTGTCGAATTCCAATATATGCATTCATACCCATGTGGAATGGCTCGTATGTAATCTTCTTTCATGTGTAGATTACCAAAAAAAAAAAAAAAAAAAAGATGTTAATTCAACCTTTGTAGTTTTGTTTTATGCATTTAAAGGTAAACTAGTTAAAGCCCATAAAAATACATAGAAAAGTAGAAAGTATGTTATATGATCCATTTCTTTCCCCCATTCTATGGGGTTGCATACTACCCTGATGCATTCTGATGGTAAACTGCAAGTGAATATAACTATAACTATTGTTGTACCTTGCAAAAATCCAAAGTTTCTGGTCAAGTTTGCCTCAAACCAAGCCTAAGCTAGTGAGGCATGTGTGTGAATTATTATGTAGGCCTTTTCACTCTAATATTTGGGTTGAATAATTTCATGTAGATGTAGTTATTTTATACCTAGCTATACATGGTCGTACACAGATTTATAGAGGAAGCTTGGTTTGGTATTTTTGGTAATCTTATTTTCCTTAGCCCTTGAATTCTCATATTTTGGGTTCTACAAATGATGTGCATCATTATTTGCTTCCAACAACTTCATTCATACAAATGCAGCATAACTATTCTACATATCACATATAGTTTCTATATAGAGAACATTAAAATCAGGAGACCTCGCTGAATTTTGGATGGCAACTGGTTAGGCTCCATTTGGTTGCTCAGAAACAGGAAAGTTGTTCTTGAGAAGTGGTTGTCTGGGCAGCAAACTTTTCTACGTGCAGAAGTGTAAAAAATTATAATAGTAAACAATTCAAAGGATTTATTTCTTGCAGGCAAAATGTTTGTAGTTGTTTTTTGTGACAACCAAAAGCCAAAAACTGAACGAAAACTGTTTTAATTCCTTTGCCTTTTTCTTTCTTGTTTGTGTGGCACACACATCTTAGTGATTCGAAATGTTAATATGAAGGAGTGAAGTAGAGTGGATTAGGTATATGGACTTGTGTTGGGTTGTATATTTTATGAAATAGGGGCTTGTTTGAGGTTAAATTAAGTAAATTTGGTTCAAGGTTCTCAAGCAAATTGTGATTTGAAGGCATGGAGATGCAATGCATCTAGAGAAGTGAGGGGAAGATAGGTTTGTTGTCACTGGGATGCTGTTAGTGGTGACGGTAGGGCTTAGTTGTTGAGCCAAGGGTGATCTTTAAAGTGTATGCATGCAGTCAAAGAGTATGTAACGTGTGAGGAGGAGGAAGTTGTTGCTAAGAGGAAATGAAAGAGAAATCGGGTAGTTTCAAGGTTCAGTGTTATTTTCGTTGGGTTTGCAGCTGGTTCAAGAGTAATGATAATTATTACAAGTTGATGAATTTGGAAGATATGGAGATGCTCCCATGGAGTTTCATCAATGATATTGCTCATGGGTTGCAATGGCCAATCAAAATTGCATCTTTCGACTTTGAATGTCCCTACTGATACTAGAATTGCAATAGGTATGTTGTTATTGGAATTAATTACTACCCATTTATGCAATGAAGCCATCATATGAACAATGCTGTCAACGGTAAGAAAAAAAACTCAGGAAAAAAACGCTACCACGTGAGATTGTTTTAACAAGAAAGCTTCAAATGTATTGATTTCTGGCTGCTGATTGGTCATGAGAAATAAGTGAGGCTGTTATTGGCAATCAGGATGATGGGGGTTTCTTGTTGTACATCAGGAAGGATGAAAAGGAGAACCCCATTTGTGTGAGGATCTGAATCAAATACCATCTTGTTGGGTCATTGGCTGAAAGACTTAGATTAGTGGAACTTGTCCTTGTAAGCAATCCTTCTCTTGGTTTCTGCGTTGAAGCGGACTGCTCACATTTTCTTCTAGATAGCACATAGAAACTACTTCGTTGTTTGGCAAGTTGATTTGTGGCTAAAATAGCCACAAAAGACAAAATAGACTATTTTAGCCATAACAAACAAAACATCACATCCAACCCATACTCATTACACTCTTCTCTCACAAAAAAAGCCAAAAAAGTAAAAAGCCCTTCTCAAACCAAACTTTTTAGCCCAGGCTAAAATAGCCAAAAATCCAAAAAGCCAACCCACTTCCCAAACGGAGGCTCAGTGGTTAATATCTTTGCCTCAGTTTTTTGTTTTTTATTTTATTTTATATATATATATATATACGTTTTTTGGTTGGTTACAGTATTACATTTTATTTATTTTTGTAATTGTTGTTAAAATCCAAAATGAGGAAATACGTTAGAGTTAATTATACCAAGACTCCTCAACTATTTGCGAATATCAACTTGCTCTTCTCATTTATGAACCTGTACATTTTGATCCCCTCAACAATAAAAATGCAACACTTCCACCCCCTCCATAAGGGGGCAATTTGTACGAGCTTTGTGTATTATACAGATTGGAGTTATAATTGTCTGCATGATTTTGAAGTGTTCTGATGCCATATTTCTTGCTCAGAGCTTCAGTTTGTTTATGTGGACTGCAATAGGAAAGTTCAAAGCGGGGTGCATGGGTTGATGATTCTGTCGAAGTTTAACTAACAGTTAGAAGGAAATACATTGCAAGTACCAAACACCTATAATGTTATGGCAAGTTCATGCATTGCCATTATGGTTGATGATTTGTTTGTTTGAGTGTTAGTAACGCCACCTTTGTGTCATTGTTGGGAACTTTGGGAACTTGTTGCAGAATCAGGATGGCCTATTCAGATGCAGCCATCCAAGATTGGACTATTGGTGAGTTGGTTCTGTCCAAGTTATGGACTGACATCATAGGAGGTGATTTGTTCCTTTTATTTATTGGGCATGCTGATATTTTTGAATTTCAAAATACCAAATTGATTTAGTTTTAACAAAATATTATTTTCAATCTGATTTATGACTTTATTAACTGTTTGGGGTATAAGAGAAATTTAATGTGTTATTTTTATCATTAATATAATATGTTACATATCAGGAAGTTGGATATAAATATTATATTAAGTTTCGGTTACATTGTTTTAATTAGTTTGAAGGCCATTCAATTGTGAACATTAATTCATATTATATATGTGCTTTTAAATGTTTGAAAGATGTAGATTCTATTGTTATACATACAAGCAAATCACATATGCCAGCAATTAAATGAGTTGTTCCTGACACCTCCATATTGCGAGTGCACACACTTGTGGAGAAGCAACATCTGAATCTTGGACGGTAGGATGCATTTAACCTGTTGCACCTGGTCACGTAAACCTACCCTCTAGGATTCAATTGTCATTTCCCCACGAGTGTGCACTTGCAATGTGGAGGTGTTGGGAATAGCTCATGTATCATATCATCGTAAACCTCGCTTTCCAACACTGCATGGACATTTTTCCTTGATGGGAACTTGGTGCCCATAATCATAATGGAGAAAGCATTTGATCTGTTCAGATGCAGGATTGGACCGTTGATGACTTGGTTCTGTGTAAGTTTCTGCGTTGACATTATAGGATATGATTTGTTTCTTTATGTGTCTGTAGCACCATTTTTCTGGGATTTTTTTCCTTGTTGGGAACTTGGTGCAGAATCATAATGGAGAAAGCATTTGACTTATTCAGAGTGCAGGATTGGATTGGAGCGTTGATGATTTAGTTGGTTCCTGGTGATTGTTTGTTTGATCTTTTTCTGTCTTTACAGATGGCTCAGAACTTTGT